AGAAAAACACAAACGAACGAACAAACATCTGAACAATGAAAAACTTGACATCAACAACGGCAAATTAATGGCGGAATGAAATGTTAAATGCATACTCAAAAACAAAATGTTTCAAAATTGTTGTTGGATGTGGATTGTAGCATTTAAATGAATGGCAAAAAGGTCGCTAACGACATGCTAAAGATATACAAATGTAATTTTGTGATAGGTTTTGGTGTGTTGTTGTTGTAGATTTTGATGAACCTGAGGATACTACCTAGATGTGTGTGTATGAGTAATGTTGATTGGCTCCCTGTATTATGCTAGGAGAACATTTCAAAATGCATAGGTGATCTTCCTAAGTGACTGCATCTCTTGGTAAGAAATGAGCGAAATCATAATCTTAATTTTTAATCCGATCTTATATTTCTGATTGACCCACAAAGAAGGGACTTCACTACTAACTTTGATTGTCCTCGAGAAAAATCTTAATAAACCTAAAATTATATCTACATCATTGCAGCATTAATTTTCCTAGTACCATATATAATAAAAGATTGTAATAAAATATAAAAGATTGTAGTCTTCGTTGTCCCTTAAAAAAGTTATAAAAAAAAGTTTATAATACGTAATTTAAAAATATGACTAATTATTCAAAACTCTATACGAACCAACCGTGACATAGACATTTCCCCAAAAAATCTTCATTTAAAAAATATTTTTTTTTAATTTTTCCGATTTAAACCTGATTTTATATGCAAGGATAAATAAAAAAAAGTTACAAAAGCTCCAAAAAATTGACTCTTATAGACCTTATTGTCCTCGAAAAAATGTCAGAAACTCACGATTATGGACATGGTGATTGTTGTTGTTGTGTCAATCTAGTCTAATCTAGTTCATAGTTCTGTACACTGGTTCCTAAACGTATGAGTGATTTCATTTATTTCATATCACTCATACGCAGAGTTGTCATAAAAGCAAACGGAGTCCAGAAAACTAAATAAGGAACTATCGCTCGATCGAACGAGACTAGCACAACTCTTGTATGGTTCACAAAACAATATTTAAGTAGTTCCCCCACAAGTGTCAGAATAATCTTTATTCAACGATCTTCTAAATCTTACAACCCCACTTGTAAGGTTAAGGAGGTTTTCTAAAAGAATTTTAGTTTTATGTAATTCTTTGGTCCCTCTTCTACTGAGCTTACGATCCCGTCACTTGGGTAAAACAAAAACTTTTGGTCATAGGACTTATTTTTAAAATAGCTCCTGGGGAGAATATCCCAGACAAAAAGAAAAACAAGGGAACTTATGAGGATTGGTTCCCTTTCCGAAACCTAGTTATTCCTGCCTTACCCCCTGGTAAACATTACCGTCCTATGGTATGCCGAACAAACATTCCAACACTGTTCGATTGGTAAAAAAAAACTAGTAAATTCAATGCTCCATAAAAAATCGAAAAGGACGTTCCTCGGAAAAATTATGTAGGGCTGTGGGGAAAAACGTAATCTAAATACTCCTGAATAGCCCCACTGGTCTTTTAAAAATCCTAAAAAGTCTAACTGCATAGGTATTTGAAAAATTCTCAAGCACACTCTATCATCACTATACAGGGTGAGATAAAAACCTTCAACAAAGTCAAACGCCATAGTTTTTACTTTTTTAATTTTAACGAATGAAACCGCAAAATTTCGGAAATAGCATCAAATTTAAGAATAAGTTTAGATTTGTTCGAATTGGTCACCTTTGGCACGAATTATGGCCTTCACACGGCCAATGAAACCGTCACACACTGCCCGAATGTTGCTCTGCGGTATTTTGGCCCATTCCCGGCAAAGCGCTTGCTTGAGGTGATTGACACTTTGGTATTTTTTTTTGTGCCAACCTTGCTTTCCAAAATACTCAAGACACCATAGTCCACCGGATTGGTATCCGGAGATTTTGGTGGCCATTGTGTGGTGGAAATGAAGCGAGGAACCTCATTTTGTAGCTATTCTTGGGTGGCGCGTGCTGAGTGCGATGGTGCTGAGTCCTGTTGGAATGCCCAAAGTCTGCGGCCAAAATGTTTGCGTGCCCAAGGCTTTAATACACCCTGCAGAATATTTTCTCGATAATAGTCGACATTTATCTGATGCGGCCTTTATCCTGATGGACTAATACGAGCGGAGAGCGACCATTGGCTGTTATGGCGGCTCACCCCGTCACCATGGCCGGCGCATGAGTTCTGGTGGCCAACCGAAGGTGGACATTTTCAGCTGACCTCTTTGGCAAGTATACACGATCATTTTGTTTGTTTACTAAATGCTGGACAACGAATGTTTTTTCGTCGAGGAAAACCAAATTCGACAGTTCACCACTTTTGGCCATGCGAAGCAACTCTCTTTAGACTCAAAAGAGTCTATTTTCTTTCTGTTGCAGTGTAAGTTCTTGCACTTTTTGGAATTTCAATGGCTTTACCCCGAGGTCATTTTTCAATATTTGCCGACTGGAATATTTCGATATGTTCAGCTTACGAGCCATTTTTCGGCCACTGCGACGCGGGTTTCGATCAAGTCGCTTCTTGACATTTCGCACCATTTCTGCTGATGTTGCTGTTTTCTTCCGTCCACTACCTTGACGTCGGGCTACGCTACCAGTATCATGATAACGAGCGATGGTACGAGACAAAGAATATTTATTCACATTTAAATGCTGGAGTGCTCTAGCGATAGCCACTTGTGGGTTTCCAGCCAAATATAAAGAAATCATACTATCACGTTTGAAATTCATCAAGAAGAACTTTTTGTTTTGGAAAATTCTCACAGAAATGCTTTTGTTCGCTTGTAAACAATATAATGAGCTGGAATAATTTTAACACCTGTCGCACGAGTGGCTTAGAAATGACAGCAGTCCGGAGTGGGTTGCAGTTTTTTCATCTCACCCTGTATGGGGTAGATCAAAAATTGCTCGACTTTTCCAAATACACACGTAGCTACATGAAAACCAAGTACCATCTGTGAATCACTTAGAGAACTCCGGTATTTAGCTGTTACTTAACAGCAACCTAAAATGTTAAATCTAGTGAATTTAATTTTTAATTAAACATGGGATTTTCGAATTATCATTTCTTGTAAAACGGTTGTCAAATAAAAAAAAAAATAATAGGGTAAGTGTGCCTAAGTTCGGCATGTCCCAGTAGTCGGCACTTTTTATTTTTAAGCCCAAATAAATGAAACTATTATAACTAAATAAATTTTGTTTACTTCAAATATATTGTCAGCTATCTTTGTGTACAATTTCGCTAAGAAAAGATGATTTATAAAAATTAAATTTTTGTCTGTGAAGGTCCTCAACTATCCATATTCTTAAGAAAAGTACAATAAAGACGTCGAATCAGTTTAACTAAACAAAAATATTATATTTTAATGAATTAATTTATTATTATTATTAATTATTCTTACAAAAAAATTTGTATGCCGACTGTTGGAACATGCTATACCGACAATTGGCAAGTGGTGCCGACTACTGGCAAAAAAGCATTGTTTTAAAAAAACTACAAATTTTTGAAATTTAATAAAAAGTTATTAAAACTTTATATATTATTGTAAAAACTATACAAAATTTCGAATCTGAATAAATTATCTTTTTAATAATTGAAAAGTTCCACTCAGAATGGTGAGCGATTAAAAACGCGAAAATCCTAAAAGTGCCGACTACTGGTACACTTACCCTATATGGAGATTCTACAGAATCGATGTCAATGGCAAGAAATATCAATATAGTCAAGAATGTCACAAAAAATTAATATGGCATGAGATTTTGAATGTTACACCCACTTTTATGTCAGCTGCTTCGCCAGATGAGTGGGAGTTGCATATTCTCTGGATATTTGAACGATTAAATATTAATGCATTATAAAAAAAATAACTAGATTGAGTTTAGTGTTTAATAGCTGTATTACCACTGAGAGACATGACCTTTGATTTACGAATGGCTTTCATCAAAGATGCGAAACAAATTTCAGAATTTTGGAATTATAATGCATGGGGGTCTCTTTTTCTTTTGTTGCATTTTTTTTTTCAAATATCCCTTATTAATCTAATCTGTTTAAAAATACACTAGGCTCAACATTTAATAGATAAATGAATTTAAAAATGTAAAATGCCAAGTTTTCTAAGGATCGAAATGTATGGCTCCTATGGTTTCATGATAAAAATCTCCATGATGACATTATGAGTTTCATACATTTATCTATGTAAAATGTCCATGAATTCTTTTGATTTTTGTTGTATACTTCTAATGAAAAAACAAAACAAAATATTTTTATTATTTTATTATCAAAAAAGAGTCATTTACTCGTTTAAAGGGATATCGTAAGCCCAAGTTTAACTGTTGTGTTTCGTTGTAGTTGTTATTGTTGTAAAATATTGTTGTTTTTCGGTAGTTGTTGTGGTTGGAGGTGTTCATGTGTGTTGTTGTTGTTTGATATTTTTTTTGGTTAGAATTGCAAAAAAGAGTTTAAACATTGGAAAAATAAACAGATTAACAAAACACAAAAGATAAAAAAAAAACAACAACAAAGAAAAGAAAATGTAAACAACAAGAAGAATTCAGTAAATTGTTTTATATCACATCAATCAAATTGAATTTTATTGTTATTATTATTATTATTATTATTGTTTTGCTAAAGAATAATAAAAATGTAATTTTTCAAATGGAGAAAGTAGAAGATAAACATTGTCATGCATTAGGAAATTTTCTTTTTTTTCTGATTTCATGTATAACAAATTAAAATTGAATTATTTCCATAATTTTACTAAACACACACACACACATGTATTGAAACATGCTTTTCTTAGTTTTTCTTTAATAGTTATTCAAATGAAATAATCATTTATGGAAAACAAAACTTGTATTGATTTCGAAATGAAAAAAAAAACAACTAAATAATTGGAAAAGTTTCGTTTTAATCGAAAAGCCAATTAGGTTACGTTTTTTACTTATTTTTGTTTTTGGTTTCCTAACATTTAACATTTATCTTACCTGTTTGAGCAATAAATCACTGTTGGCCGATAGACATGTAACCAAGTACTTGGTTAGATTGAGGAATGAACCTAAGACCTCTAGCGTCAGATGTTCCCGCGACGAACGCTGCAGCATAAATGATATAACTAAGAAACCACGATTTTGTATCATATGCTGCTGAACGGTCTGTGAGGTTTCGACAAGTTCACAAATGAAACCTAAAAGTTTGGAACTGGAAGAAAAGGAGGAAAAATTAATTGGAAAAAATGTATTAAATTAAAAAAATAATAATAAAAAAACATTAAGTTCGGCCGGGCCAAACTTTCAATACCCTCCACCTTATGGTAAAGGAAACATTAGAAGAAATGTGGCAAAACCATTAAAATGCCGAATATCGGGAGGTACCGTTATATGGGGGCTTTACCAAATCGTGGACCTACACATTATCAAAACGTGGACCTATACATACAATGTTCGCCACACGAACTAGGACCAATTATGACCCACAAATACCAATTTTTAGACAAATCAGTGAAAAGATATGGCAAAAACCATCAAAGTACCGAATATCGGGAGGTACCGCTATATGGGGGCTATACCAAATCATGGACCCATACATGCAATGTTTTGCCACCGGAGCTGGAACCCATTATGACCAACAAATACCAATTTTTAGACAAATCCGTGAAAAAATGTGGCAAAAATCATCAAATTACCGAATATCGGGAGGTACCTTTATATGGGGACTATACCAAAACGTGGACCTATATATGCAATATTTTGCCACACGCACAGGGATTCGTTATGACCTACAAATACCAATTTTCAGACAAATCCGTGAAAAAATGTGGCATAAATCATCAAAATACCGAATATCGGGAGGTACCGTTATATGGGGACTATACCAGAACGTGGACCGATTTATCTCATTTTCAATACCAACAATCCTAGACACAATACAAATTGCTCTGCTAAATTTTGGCGCTCTACGTCAAATAATGTGGGCTGTATCGTGATTTCAACAGACAGACGGACATCACCAAGGTGGAGGGTATAATAAAGATGTAATTATTGGGTGCAAAAATTGGGTGTTTAATGAATAATGTATATTTTATATTGCTAAGAATATTTTCAGTACACATCAAAAGAAAATTATGCGGAAATTATTTAAAACACCGTTCTCCATCAAGGCTAGCAATGGAAACTGTGCGTCAGGTCCACTTGAATATTCGAAAACTTTGAATGGAATTCCTCCTGGTATGTGTCACTCAGAAAACCTTGATTGGTGTTGAAATAGAGATTTGATAAACGCCATCTATACTTCAATAGCAACATTGTTCGTTTAGCATTACATTAAGCTATACAAGATTTTTCATATCGATTCCAAAGGATTTCGACTGAAACGCATTGTATCTTTTGACGTATAAAACTTTGGGAAAAAATGCCGAGAGAGTTTACATCCTGGATAATGACGTACTTTATGGGGAGCGCCCTCTATATTTACATTTCAACAGTGTCGTTTAATACAGATTATTTCACCTGATGGTGCATAACAAATCACTTTGATGCTGTGATATAAGTTTTATAAGCGTCAACTATACCTTAATTTTAATATTGTTCTTTAATGCCAAAAAATAAAGTTCCTCAATAATTTTGCTGTTGTACCTAAGGCAAAGAATGTAAGAACCTCTTTGCTATAGTTAAGAGAAAAGCCATCTACATTTTAATGTTAATAGTGTATTCTGACGCGATGATATGCCACACTTTGCCAGAGGATTAATATTTGAACAAAGGTAAGGCGAACGCCACCTATACTTCAATTCATCTATTATTATTAAATCCCATAACATAGGGTGTAAATAACATCTTTTCTTTTTTATCTGAAAGAATCTATTAGTTTTGCATCTCTACGCTGGAAAACTGTCATACCAGATAAGATATGGTGATCTCATTTCTTATTGTTACCACGCATACCTTACTAAGTTTTTGTGATTTTTACTAGTTTGGCAATGTTGTTTCTCACAAATTTCACATATTTCTCACATTATATCAAATTTTGGGAGCTTTGACCTCAAATAAAAATATTTTGAATAACGAGTTTACTTCAATCTGCAATAATAATAAATTCTATGCTGTATGTGCAAATAACGCCCTCTATACTTGGATCTTTAGTACTATTTTCCCAAAGAAAAATCAATTTAGAACTTCTATAGATATTATGGAGATTAAGTTCTAAATACAGAAATATATTTCAAGATTACGAAGCAACCCATTAGGGTTTAAAAAATTGTATTTGGTAAGTTTCTTAGCATAAACTTTATTATCAATGTCACCAGTAGATGGCGTATCGATAAGTAGTGGAAATTAGTGTATGCAGCAATATTTATGTTATTATATTTTCCAAATATTTCGCAAAAAAGCTGTTTATGTCTAGAAACCTATTTCTGACAAGAAATTGAACCTCATACAATTTTGGGGATAAACCAAAAATATCTTAAAGTCAACTGACTTCGATTGCTTCCAAAAATCTTGAATATGTTGTTCCTGTATCAACTTAAGGTTAGTCGAAGCTTGAACGACTAACCTTAAGCTTTGCTTCAAAAAAAGTGCATTATTTGTTTTCAATTTTGCAATTTTTGCTTGATTTTTAATTCTGTGGCCGAAAAGTAGGCTACCATTTTTTTTTGTTTCTGGTTTTCCACACTCATTTACCAAAAAGTCAAAAATCTATTGAAAAATCGAAACTGGCTTTAGTCGATTTTTATACCCTCAGCGATATGGCTGGAGAGGGTATACATCATTTGATACGGCCAAAACTTGCCTAGTCGAAATAACGGTTTTAGACGCTGGGTCTCTTTGGACAAAATCCGTTTCAGAAAATTTGGAGTCAATCTAACGATGACCGTCCGTCTGTCTGTCTGGCTGGTGAGCACGATAACTCTCGAAGGAAGTATCCGATTTGAAATTTGGTACATCGTAATATTATTGTAAGACTTAGATCGAATTCGAAGATGGGAAATATTCTTTTTCTGATCCCCACAAAAGTTAAATTTTTCGAATGAAAATTATTTAATTTATAAAAAGTTTGCAAATGAAGAAAAAAATGAAAAACTTCGGCCAACTCCTACAAGTATCTCCCCCACAAAGGGCCAAAATTTTGAATAAATATATCTCTTATAAAATCCGAAATAATAGTCCGATTATCTTCAAAGTTCGCACAATGGGTCAACATTTTGAATAAATCTATCTCTTATAAAATGCGAAACAAGTAAAAAAGCTGTAAGTTCCGAACTTTGAATACCCTCCACCATTTGGAACGAATTTGTCAATTCTCAAAAAAAAAAAATTCGATAAAAAAGAAACTCTAGAAGAAGTTTTATCTATCAGAGCCCTCCAAAAGTTATTTTATCCTCAGAGGGCCTCTAAAAGATATCCTCTATGTAGAAGGCTGTCAAAAATATTATGTCTTTCAAAGCCCTACTAAAGGTTTTGTATCTGCAGAAGTAATCAACAATCTGTTGCATCCGTAAAGCTCCTGTCAACATGACCTTTATAAAAACTTCATTTAGTAGATTATCTCCAAAAGTCGATTTGGATTTTTACATATTTTTTCTATTGAGGGCTTGATTCATATATATATAGAAAGCAAAGAAATGTCGGCAAAAATCAATCAATAAAGGCCTTCTTTCTATAGAGGACCTCTCAAAGATATTTTATCTGCACAACCGATAAAAGGTATTTCCCTAAAATAACATCCTCTAGAAGATAAAGACAATTTTAAATCCCTTTACAACATATATAAATTGCGTTATATTTCGACAATTTTTTGTCATAGGCTGTAGTATCCACTGCGAACATCAAATACCAAATTTGAAAGAATTCCGGTTAATAATGTCGCTAAAATCAACAAAGGACCGAATATCGGGAGGTACACTTATATGGGGGCTATATGCAGACGTTAACCTACGCAGACAATTTTCTGTCATAGCCTGTTGTATTCATTTCAAACTTCCAATATCAAATTTGAAAGAATTTCGAATAATGTTGCTAAAATCAACAGAGAACCGAATATCCGGAGGTACCGTTATATGGGGGCTATACAAAGACGTGGACCTGCACAGACAACTTTCTTTCTTAGGCTGTAGTATCCATTACGAACTTCAAATACCAAATTTCAAACAATTCCGGTGAATAAAGTCGCTAAAATTATCAAAATACCGAATATCGGGAGGTACCGTTATATGGGGGCTATACCAAAAAACATGGCCCATTTTCAATACCAAAAGTCCTGAAGACATTTAAGTAAAATTTTATCAATCTACTTCAATTCGTTCGGGCATCGCTAAATCGACATAGAATTTAATGCTGATCAAGAATATATATACTGATATGAATATGTGATTTTCGACCCACTACTTCTGATACCTCGCAAGGGGTCATAATTTTAAATAGGTAAAAGTTTCATAAAAGTAAGAAATCTATAAGTTCGGCCGGCCCTCCACCATTTGGAACGAATTTGGCAATTCTCAAAAACAATACAATCCGTTAAAAATTCTTTTAAAATCTTAAAAATACCGAGTGTAGCTGTTATATTAGGATCTATACGACGACATGGACCTGCATAGGTAACTTTTGCCATAAGCCTTTACAATATTCAAAGACATTACAATATTAAAATCATCAAATTACCAAATATCAGGTGGGGTCTAAAATGTATATTTCGAGGTATTACAAACGGAATGGCAAACTTAATATACCCTCCATACTATGGTGGAGGGTATAAAAAGCACATATTCCAATACTTCTATTAACTCAAGATGTGTTGTGAAAATGGTGGATGTCGCCTTATTCTTTCTGGTACCTCCCCTACAAAGGTGTCAACAATTTGAAGAACAAAACGCTTATAAAACCAAAAAAAGCATTCGATTCTCTTTAATTTTCGCACATAATTAACCGATTGTTAGTTCGATAGATCGAAAAGTATAGCTTTTGATCTTCATCCCAAGCCATGATATAGTTCTGGTGTACATATCCCAAGCTCATCTAACTGTCTCTTCCTTCACCAAATAATCCAATCAGTGAATATATGATTACTCTCATCCGAATTAAAATCGTTCATACACCTCATATTTTCAATAATATTTTCATTGAACTTTTAACTCTAAACCAGTGGAAAAAGTTTTCTTGCCATTCTTATGCAATTTACAGCGTAAGGATAACCTCACAACAACAACAATAATAATAACAGCAACAGCAATAATAACAACTACAAAAAAGTATCATAACTTATGATGACTCTTTAGCTAACCGCCGCCACTAGAACGTCATCATGGTTATGAGGAGAATATCTTCAAGTTTTTGATGATATTTTAGACAACTTGTTCAGAAGGAAAAGTTTTCCCCCTTTTCCTTCTTAACAGAATCTTCAAGGAGTACGAGAATTGAAGTTTGTACACTCAGGCAGGCAGGATGGGAAGTCAAATATACAACACACACTCACACACATAATACCATGAAAACTTAAATATAGGAACTTTGCGATAAAAAGAGATAAACTTACCATAATGTTGGATCACGTTTTATATCGCTAATACCCTCATGAGCCATATCCAGTTGTGAGAAGAGTGGAAATAAAACTTGTATGCCACCAATTGAATTCAATGTACAGTGTATGGAATGTGTAACAACAGCCTTAACATCCTGGAAGAAGAAAAAAAAAAACGAGAAAGAGAGATAAAGATAAATATATAGAACTGTAAGGCAATGCAAAAATGTAAAGAAATATTTAAAAGATTTGTCTTGAGATTTATTTAAATACTTTGTTTTGTTTTTTTTTTTTTTTTTTTTTTTTTTTGAAGTTACTTTTTGTTTTTCTTTTGTGCCAAACAGAGGCTGGGAGCAGCACAGGCTTGCTGCTATTTTGTTTTAAGTAGCTCCTCAGAGACTTAACGGAAATGTACACAGAGAGAGAGAGAGAAATACGAAAAAAAAGAGATACAAAAACACAACACATTTTCGGCGAATCTACAATGCTTGAAATATGACAGCAGACCGCAAAAGTTAAAACTTAAGCCACAAAACGACTAAGCAAACAACTTAACCTGGGGCTGAATATGCCTGATTCTCCCCTCCGCACCAGCCATTGCTTCTCTCCGAGGGCTCAGAGAGTAATGCAATGACATTAATGTATCTACAAATTCCCAAGAGATTGTAGTTCAAAGAACCGAAATGTAGACAGGGAAGCAAGAAATTTGAAAACTTCAACATGACTGTTGCCAAATTTAACTTCCGTAAAATTTTGTCCTCGTCTTCGACTGCTGCTGTTGCTGCTTTTTTGTTTCCTGGCCATATACAATTTTAATAATGCCTGTGTGTACATTGTGATGCTACTGCTGCCGTCATTGTGTAGCATGCGGTGAGACTATAAAATAACAGAAAAACTATGTATTTCAGCCGTCTTGCAAATGAAATTCCTTAAGAAATATGCAAAATATTCCCAAAATACGGAATAGTTTTCGGAGTTGTTTTTTTTTTCCTTTTTTGGGCAATAAAATAGGTGAAATTTAAAAAAAAAATTTCATAGAACAATGACGTATAATGTCTGTTGTTAAAGGTCGAAAACTTGATTTTAATTAATATTCAAAGTGGCGTATAACTAGGGACAGCACGTATACGCCACATGTCATTTTTGAGATTTGTATAGGCAGACAAATATAAAATTGGATTCATTCAAACTAGTATAGATTGAATTAAATTTAGTTGATGGTCTAAGGATATGTTCCAGGCTTCCATTAAAACCATTAGCAAAAACATCACATTGCGATGGATATTGCGAGGAGGTTTTTGATTCCACTCTAATAACTAATTAAACTTTCAAAACACTTTAATATAGGATCTTCAAACATGTAAGCCTAAGTATTTCTTCGATCACGAAGTATAGATATATTATCAGGTTGGCGTATAACTACACGTATACAACCCATGTCATTTTTTATACCCTCCACCAAAAAAAGTATGGAGGGTATAGTAAGTTCGTCATTCCGTTTGTAACTCATCGAAATAATCATTTTAGACCCAACAAAGTATATATATTCTTGATCAGCGTAAAATTCTAAGACGATTTAGCCCTGTCCGTCCGTCGGTCCGTCTGTTGTAATCACGCCACAGTCTAAACGAAATAAGATAAGAAGCTAAAATTTTGCACGCTACAATCTCTTAATTCAAAACGAATTAAGATATGATGCTAAATTTGCACAGATTTCTCTTTTGTCTGCAGGCAGGTCAAGTTCGAAGATGGGGTATATCGGTCCACGATATCGTATAGCCCCCATATAACGGTACCCCCGATATTCGGTATTTTGATGATTTTAGCCACATTTTTCAATGGAATTGTCTGAAATTCCTCAAAAGGAGTCCCTTGTGGACATTTTACCCCTTCAAAAAGAATTGTCTATATAGGTCCACGATATCGTATATCCCCCATATAACTGTACCCCCCGATATTCGGTATTTTGATGATGTTAGTCACATTTTTCAATGGAATTGTCTTAAAATACACACAAGTAGTTCCTTGTGAAACGTAACCCCTTGAGAAAGAATTGTCTATACAGGTCCACAATATCGTATAACCCCCATATAACGGTACCCCCAAGGTATTCGGTATTTTGATGATTTTAGCCACATTTTCAATGAAATTGTCTGAAATTCCACAAAAGGAGTCCCTTGTGGGAATTTTACCCCCTCAAAAAGAATTGTCTATATTTGTCCACGATATCGTATATCCCCACATATCGGCACCTTCTTATATTAGATATTTTAAAGATTTTAAAAAAATTTTTAATGGATTTTATTTTTTGTGAAAATTTTCTAATTCGTTCCAAATGGTGGAGGGTATTCAAAGTTCGGCCCGGCCGAACTTACTGCTTTTTTACTTGTTGAGACCTACAAAGGTCGATAAATATGAAATTGGATTCATTAAAGCTCACAGTCTAAGGTGATTTCCTGTGCCCCTATTAAGGCTCATTAATGGAGACTGGCCTGTGGGAACATGTTCAAAAACGTCTACATTTAATAGAAACTTCCAGTATTTTTCGATTCCACTCCATTTCTAATCCACTTCATTTAGAGATTTTTTTTAAGATATTAAGCCTATATATTCCTTCAATCTCAGAATTTGTATAAATTTTCAGCGGGACGTATAACTATTGACAGCACTCATACGCCACATGTCATCTTTGAGATCTGCATAGACAGGAAAATATGAAAAACATTTTTTTTTCAAACTAATGTGGATGTGTTTAAATTTAGTTAACAGGATAAGGTCATGTATTTATTCATGAATTGCTCAGCGAGGAAATTAGTAAAATAAGCTACATATTGTTAGCAATTGCTCGGAAATTTTTTGACTCCTCTTCACTAATTAATGAAACTACAGGGTAAGATAAAAAAAGGCAACCAACTTCAGACTGCTGTCATTTCTAAGCCACTCGTCCGACAACTGTTAAAATTATTCCAATGACAGTTCATTATATTGTTTACAAGTGTACAAAAGCATTTTGATGAGAATTTTCCTGAAAAAAGTTATTAGTCATGGAATTCATGTGTGATAGTGTGATTTCTTTATATTTGGCGGGAAAACCATAAATGGCTATCGTTAGAGCACTCCAACATTTAAATGTGAATAAATCGATTGCGTCCCGTACCCTCACTCGCCACCCGTGATACTGGTAGCGTGGCCTGACGTCAAGGAAGTGGACGGAAGAAAACAGCAACATCAGCAGAGAAGGTTCGAAAAGTAAAGAAGCGACTTGATCTAAACCCACGTCGCAGTGGCCGAAAAATCTCTCGTGAGCTGAACATATCGCAATATTCAATTCGGCAAATATTGAAAAATGAGATCGGGGTAAAGCCATAGAAATTCCAAAAAGTGCAAGAACCTACACCGCATCAGAAAAAAAAAAATAGACTCAAAAGAGTTAAAGAGTTTTTTCGCTTGCCCGAAAGTGGTGAACAGCCGAATTTCGTTTTTCTCCGATGAGAAAACATTCGTTGTCCAGCAGTTTGTAAACAAACAAGGTCAGCTGAAAATGTGCACCTTCGGTTGGTCACCAGAACTCAAGCGCCGGCCATGCTGATGGTGTGGGCTGCCATAACAGCCGATGATTACTCTTCGCTCGTAATAATAGCGAAAATATGCAGGAGGGTGTATTAAAGCTTTGGGCACGCAAACATTTTGGCCGCAGACCTTGGACATTCCAACAGGAGTCAGCACCATCGCACTCAGCACGCGCCACCCAAGAATGGTTACAAGGTTCTCGCTTTATTTGTGTCCGTTGGACTATTGTGTCTGGCGTATTTTGGAAAGCAAGGTTGGCACTAAAAAATACAAAAGTGTCGATCACCTCATTGGCCGATTGCAGGCCATAATTGCTGCTAAAGGTGACCAATTCGAACAAATCTAAACTTACTATAAAATTTGATGTCTTTTTCCGACATTTTTTGCTTTCATTCAATAAAATTTTAAAAATAAATCAAAAAGTAATGGTGATTGACTTCGTTCCAGTTTTTTTATTTCACCCTGTATGAAACTCATCTGTACATTTTTTCTGGGTCAAAACCTTGATTATTTCTAATTCTCATAACATGCGAAGCAAGTCGGCAATTTCCTTCAAACTAAGTGTATCTCAATAGTTCAATCATATAAATATGGAATAAGTCGGTCCACTTCTACTCATAAAATATAAAAATTTTGATTGTTTTGATTAATTTTTTTAAATCTAAAAATATTTTTTAGTTTTAGATAAAGCGTGAAAATGGAGTGCATCGGCCAAATCCTTCTCGTCCACAAAAGTTAAACATTTAAAATATATGAATTAAACTATATATATTTCACTTTCTCAAATAAAACCAGTAAAGAAAGTCGTAAAGTCGGGCGGGGCCGACTATATAATACCCTACACCACTTCGCTTATTTAGTAGAGCTCCGCCTAACAATTAAAAGTTTTTTATGGGAGAATTCAATCATACACGCTATGATTATAATTATGATTTAAAGTTCAAAGGACTAAATATGCCAAAGCATTTGTATCTTTTAAATTCGGACTTGTATCGCCAATTTGGTGCACAATTAATTTGAAATCGGATAAAGATATATATGGGAGCTATATCCAAATCGGAACCGATGTCGATAAAATTTGGCAAATATATTTCTGAGCTGTATTTGATATATTTTCCTGAATATCGTTGTTACGGAGTGCATATTACGGCTGTGGGTTACAAATATAACAAATTGGATGAATAGTATATATGGGAGCTATAGCTATATCTGAACTGATCTTCACCAAATTTGACATACTAGCTTCTAGACTCAATTCGGTAGTAAGTGCCAAATTAAATCCCATTTGGACAAATATTAGACATTTGGTGCACAATAAAAGGTAAATCGGGCGAAGTTATATATGGGAGCTATATCCAAATATGAACCGATCTCGATCAATTTTAGCAAATGTATTTCCGAGACGCATTTTTATATATATTTCCCCAAATATTGCTATTACAGAGTGCATATTACGGCTGCGGAGGACATATTACGGCTGCGGAGGGCAATAATTGCGACCTGTACTTTGTTTAAAAAAATACATTGACAGACGGACGGACGGACATGCATAAATCGACTCAGAATGTGATTCTATGCAGATCATCAAAAGGAACAATGGGTCTATCTCGTTTCCTTTTGCCTGTTAGAAACAAATGCACAAACTCTTATAATATTAATATAGTATAGATATATAAAATAAAGTATAAGAATAGCGTTTCTTTAGAGCTCGAAAATTGTGGGGTGTAATTTAGAGTGATCTACAAAAAATCTTAATATAAAATATGAAAAATAACTTTACTCTAAAATTCAGTTCGCCTTATTTTTAAATGGCTTAAAATAGCAACATTGACTGATCTGAAATGGTTGTACTATTTGACAAATCATTGTATTCCTTACCATTTTCTGAGCCACAATAGTATTGCTAGTAGTGAAGTAAGGTGACGTATTAGTTTTGTCAATACTTATACGCCATGTACTTATGAGGCAAATGTAAACTTTACAATAATCGATAGAATATGATACCGCATATTTTTATATAAATAATTATAATAATTATATTATAATTTAATAATTATATTATATATATTTTTTGAAATTCTGCATTTCATACTTACTTGTAACATAAGTGCATGTGGTGTATGTACAAAATATGATACATTTCCTTTGGGTGCTGATTGTAAACATAGTTGACCATCCGTGGCTACTGGATTATACATGAACACGATGGCATTGGAAAGTTTACCATCGTATAGTACCTAAATGGGAAGGGGAGGAAAATAGAAAAAAAAAAATCATTAGAAATTAGTAATGCAAAAAGAATTTAAATTGTTAAATGAGTTTAATCAATATTTTCATTTATTTTTAAAACAATATTATCATTTATAACAACTATTTATTTATTAAATATTAATGTTATATTTTCGTTATTTGAAATATCCTTCAAAATGGCAACCACAAACCAAATTTTTATTTATGTAAAGCATCAGAAAAATCATCATACATCTCCCCTAACCAAATTCTTAAATTGATCTTTTGGAACTACAAAATTGTATATTTTTTCCTTTGTTTAAAATATTTGCAATTGAATAATTTTTATTTAATCCCCTCTCCAATTCCTAATTGTTCTCCTGCTAAGTATTTATTTGGTTTGTGGTATTATCACTCACAAAGAAAACGAATATGCACAAGCATTTTTGCCTACAATTTAATCTATGATTTTTCTTTTAATTTTGTGGTCTACTAAGCTTCAACTTTTGTTCGGAAATCCCTTAAATAACCCAAAAGTATAACAAGCAAATGTCAGAGATATAAGTAAATCAAAAAGAAATCTAAATATCTTATAGCGAACTTCGTAAACAAGAATAGCAAACACACACTCGTTATGAATACCAAAAGAGGATTTAAGTTTATGGCTCTGCATTATCTACAAGAAAGCCAGGTGGTGTAGTGGCAGCAGAAGAAGCGGTGGTAGTAGTCGTAGTATGCATGAGTTGGCTGAGATTATGCGGTTGTTATACACTTAGTAATGACTTTAGCTTGGGGCTTTTTTGATTGCCATATTTTGCTAAACATAAGCGTCCCAGTGAACATTATCTTCTGAAAACACAATTTGAACATCAGAGAAATTTCCCCGAAATTCATTCTTCTTTTTTTTTGGAAAATATCTAAAATATCAATATAAATAATTTTTCGTTCGAATTGTTAGTCCTACCCATACTGTACTTTTTTTGAGTCTATAATATATTTTACGATTGAAAAACCATTTGCTGCCTTTTTTACTGTTTTTACTCAATTTCACAATTTCCAATGAAATTTCAATCATGAAATAAATTTTCTCTCGAAAAGAAGAGAAACATTCGTTCATTATTTTTTTCTTCGTAAATAATATTGACATTATACTCTACAAAATATTCCATTTTGGGTATTTCAGCTATTATTATTGTCATTTTAAATCGAATATTCCATGCTCATCAAAATTCCAAAGAAAATTCAAATTTACAAAATTCAAGGTTTCATTATGACTTTCTTCACAGAGCATTGAAAATTGTCTGCAAAATATTTTTAATAAAAAAAATATTTGTAAAGAGCTATTTTCTAAACATCCAAGAAAATACAGGGTGTGAAAAAAAACTGCAACACTGAAAGCAAAATATGTCGGAAATCGCATCAAATTTTAGAATAAGTTTAGATTTGTTCGAATTGGTCAACTTTGGCACGAATTATGGCCTTCAAACGGCTAAGGAAACCGTAACACGCTGTCCCAACGTTGCTTTGCGGTATTTGGGCCCATTCCCGGCGAAGCCCTTGTTTGAGGTAATGAACACTTTGGTATTTTTTAGTGCCAACCTTGCTTTCCAAAATACTCCAGACACAATTGTCCAACGCGGATTGGTATCCGGAGATTTTGGTGGCCATTGTGCGCTGGAAATGAAGCGAGGAACGTCATTTTGTAATCATTCTTGGGTGGCGTGAGCTGAGTCCTGTTGGAATGTCCAAGGTCTGCGACCAAAATGTTTGGTGCCCAAAGCTTTAATACATCCTCCAGAATATTTTCACGATAATATTCGCCATTTATTCTGATTCGAGCGGAGAGCGACCATCGGCTGTTATGGCGGCCCGCACCGTGACCAACGCCGGCGCTTGAGTTCTATATTTTGGTGGCCATTGTGCTCTGGAAATAAAGCGAAGAACCTCTTTTTGTAACAATTCTTGGGTGGCGCGTGCTGAGTCCTGTTGGAATGTCCAAGGTCTGCGGCCAAAATGTTTGTCTGCCCAAGGCTTTAATACATCCTCCAGAATATTTTCGAGATAGTATTTGGCATTTATTCTGATGAGTGGAGAGCGGCTGTTATGGCGGCCACACAATCCCCATGGCCGGCGCTTGAGTTCTGGTGGCCAACCGAAGGTGCACATTTTCCGCTGACCTCTTTGGCAAGTAAACACGTTTGTTTGTTTACAAACTGCTGGACAACGAATGTATTCTCATCGGAGAAAACCAAATTCGGCAGTCCACCACTTTCGGCCAAGCGAAACAACTCTTTAGCTCTTTTGAGTCTATTTTCCTTCTGTTGCGATGTAAGTTCTTGCACTTTTTGGAATTTCAATGGCTTTACACCGAGCTCATTTTTCAATATTTGCCGAATGGAATATTGCGATATGTCCACCTCACGAGCCCGTTTTCGGTCACTGCGCCGCGGGTTTCGATCAAGTCGCTTCTTTACTTTTCGAACCATTTCTGCTGATGTTGTTGTTTTGTTCCGTCCACTGTCTTGACGTCGGGCTACGCTCCTAGTATCACGGTAACGAGCGATGGTACGAAACACAAACGATTTATTCACGTTTAAATGATGGAGTGCTCTAACGATAGCCAGTTGTGATTTTTCAGCCAAATATAAAAAAAATCACACTATCACGCTTGAATTCCATCACGAATGACTTTTTTTCTGGAAAATTCTCACCAAAATGCTTTTGTACGCTTGTAAACAATATAATGAGCTGTCACTGGAATATTTTTAACAGCTGTCGGCAAGTGGCTTAGAAATGACAGCAGTCTGAAGTTGGTTGCAGTTTTTTCATCTCATCCTGTAAATTATTGAATTTCCTCTGAACATGCTTTTTCGTTTTAAATAAGTTTGATTTAATAAGGTCTGATAGGGTGGAGAAAATATTTCAAGCACCCTTTTTTCCTAATACATATCAGTTTCACACAATTTCGTTATAATATAATATTAAATAAGAATCCTCAGACCCCTCCCTTAGATGTCTTATCAGCCATTTTATACAACTGCAATTTTCCATGAATCGAAAGATTATTTTGACCTTCTATTCTGCGAAAAAAAATTCCCTGTCATCATCTAGAATTATTTATATGACAAATTTCCATGGTTGCCCCTGAATTCCATAGAAAATGCTCACTGGGTTGTTATTTCTATGTTTTATTTAGTTGCAGGAATTTATTAAATGTGTTTGTGTGCGTCTATGTTTGGCATAACGACATGTGAAACTATTTGATTTGCTCCTTCTCTACGAATGTCGGTGTGTTTATTTTGAAAAATGTATTAGTGTGTGTGTGTGTGTGTGCGTGTGAGATGATGTCCTTTGTGTGACATATATTGCACATAAAATGAAAATGTTGCTGCTACTATGGCAACATTGGTAGTTTTGTTGGTTGCCTGGTTGTAGTTGTACAAATAAACAGGGCACAGTGGTGCAAGGTCAACGAAAATATAAAAAAGAGATATAAAAATACAAAATATATATATATAAAAATAGGGGAACAAAGTATTTGGGATGCATTGTCGATTTAAGACCTTTTGAATTTCTCCTTCAGGAAAAAAGTCGACTTTTCGATATTTCATTTTGGGTCTATCAGTTAACATTGATTTTCGATTTTTAGTTATCAAAACAAAGTCCACTTCGAAGCTTCGTAAACTGATTGTAAGCTAAAATTTGCATTTCATTAAAACAAAAAAAAAAAAAAAAAAAAAAAAAAAACACTTCAATCGTTGCTTATTTGTAGGCCTGATAAAAGCCTACCAAAAATTTACGACTTCAAAATTGCTTGTAAAGAGCCAACTTTTTACCACAGGCAATAGTCGATTTTTACCATCAGTGAAACTACATAGAAACTATATAGAGTACCCACAGGGTCCGTCATTTAACATAACAACTAGTGTTTATATGGTGTATAGTAACATCTAACTCATGTCTGATTTGAAAGATGGTAATTTTCATCCTTCCGCTGAACGAATATGCTTGTGTATAATGGTAATGTTGCAAAATGTGTGCCAAAATTGTGTACGGATTTTGGAACAAGGGCAGAACTGTTACCTCCGTATTTAAACAGGCTAATTTTTTACATTTTGGCACAATAATCTCGCATACATTGAAAATCCGATGCACCCAAAACGAGTCGATGTTTGGTGCTGATTTTGGTCCAAAGGCATAATTGCGCCATTATTTGAAGAATATCCAAGAGGATATTGGAAACATTTGGTTTCAACATGACATCGCTACGTTCTACATAGCATAAGCTACACTCAATGTTTTGTACCCTGTTTTTGAAGATCGCATTATCAGCCACAGAGCTGATGTCGGTTGGCCACTTCAGAGCGATTTGATATAGTTGGACTATTCCTTGTGGATGCCGCCAAAGATAAGAGAACTTTGAATAAGTAAAAAAGAATCTAAATTCGACCGGGCCGAACTTTTAATACCCTCCACCATTTGAAAGAACTTAAAAAACTTCCAAAAAAATCCGAAAACTTCCGTTAAACCGTTATATGGGGGCTATATGAAGAAGTGGACCAGCATACAAAGATTTTTGTCATAGGCTGTAGTACCCACTACGAACTTTAAATACGAAATTAGTATCCATTAAGAAATCATCAAAATACCGAATATTGGGAGGTGCTGTTATATGGGAGCTATACGAAAACGTGGACCGACATGGCCCATTTACGAACTTAACCTGCCTACTGGTAAACTATGCATACATACAAAATTTTAGCCTTCTATCTCAATTCGTTCGAAAGATAGCATGATCACAACAGACAGACGGATATATTTACTTTGTAGGGTCTATTATGAATATTGCGAGGACTTACAAACGGAATGACAAAGCTAATATACCCTCCATAGAATGGTGGAGGGTATAAAAAATACTCAGTAGTACTTTTTTAAAGCATTTTCAGAAAAAAAGTTATATGGCGGACCCATTATATAAATGCCAAAAAGTAATAATATTGTATAAAGA